AATCGAGTTGGTGCTGTCATCGTGGAAATAACTCGAGAGAGATTAAAGTGGCGAGGATTTCGTGTCGGTGCTTCAGGCGTCTATTTATTTCTCCTTCTTCCGTTTTCTTTTTCCTCTCTCATAACTCGATCTTTCTTCGACGACTTCGATGACCGTTTTATTAAGCAGAGAGGATGTCAAAGGAGAAAGACAGTGACTTCCGGTCACTGAAATAATTTTTGAACCATCAAAGAGTACTATGGAACAATGATCAGAATTTAATGAACACTAATTAGAAATTTAAAAAAAGGCTATTCTGAATCGAGAACAAAGCTGTCGAACAAAAGATCAAGAACATTTTCACATTTCTCCCCACTATACGGAGAAATGTAGCACGAAACAATGTTGTAATGAACCAGAAAAGGTTGAAATTTATTCGCGAGAAAAAGGTCCACAGCAGAGTGCAGATAATCCGCAAAAAAGTGGATACCTTTTTTCTTCTTCTGTTACGACCTTCTCGTGAAAAGTCCAAGCATCTAGCGAACAGTACTTCCAAAATTAGTACCATTCTCCCTCGGTTTCATCCCTCTTCACCACGGCTTATTATCTAGCCGTGGATTCAAAAGTAGAATTGCAGAGGTTGACCTGGTATCTGAAAATGTTCTTTCATCGTGCCGTCCATAAGAATCGACACTCCTGCTTTCGTATTCTGCTCATCCCACTCGATCAATCACAAATGTTTGATAAAAGAGTAACGATATTGCTTCCTCAACTATATTTCATTTTCGTTCTCTCGTCGAGCATGAATGATATATGGCAAGTACTCATTTTCGAGGGTCCAAAGAAATCGATTTAGGGTACGGAAATCAAACAATTATTATGTATTCATAGTATGCGAAAGTGGACAATAAATCATTTCAACCATCACATTTTATGTTAGCTATTTGCTATCATAAAATAATTCAAAATAAATGATAATAATTCAAATGTCTTCGTCTATAGATGTACCTTTTAAATTAGGTTTCTCTGTGAACCAATCAAATTATAGATAGAAGTCAATATGACGTCAAACTAATCTCAAAAGCTGAAACTTGCACTTTTGAATTTTTCTCATTAAATGTTATTAAAATATATAAAACAAAGTGAATAATATTGTGTGGTCTAAAAATAAATTTCCACCCAACACAAAAAAATATTAAATTTGATTTTATAACGAGGGCCTAATAATCATTCTACAATATTTTAAGATATTTATTAAAAAACAAAATTAATAGAGTCATAAAATAATAAATAGAATGAAATATCAAATAATATTCCTGATCAATTGATCATGTTCTAAACATATTTAAGTACTTTCCATCGTCACATAAAGTACAAAAACAGGAACTCCAGAGTAATGGTTTTACGTTACTGTTTGACCTAATTAACTTGTAAACAAGACACGGCAACAACTGTGCTTCCTTAGGGATCTCATCAATGTCTAGTGGAAGTATCCTGTTTAAAGCCAAACCATCAGCAACCCCATCAATCTCCCTCGAAAAAGTTGGCTGTATTGATTTTGACCTAACAGTTCGAGAAAATCTCATTAAAAGCGAGACGAGATCGGGCACACCTTCCATCCACGAAGATTAATCTCGACACATGTAAAAAAAAATAGAATTCTACAGCTGACACTAAATGTTCCTTGATCCTCGACATTAGTTTACAACATAAGGTTTCCTTAGAATTTTTCAAATACAATTAATAAAATAGTACAGCACTTAGAATTTGGTTTGAACGATGGACTGCTGTAATTTAATTTGATGAAATATTTAAAACGCTATTAGACCTTAGAGAATTGGTCTATTACACCGTTTGGTGATTAAGAAAGTGAACTATGTTTTCAGTGAAAATCCGGTTACGAAGTTTAATTGGTTATTTTACGCTTGTTGCGATTTGTAGAGACATTTGTAGCCGGGTCTATTAAGGGTGGCTGCTTTGGAAATAGAATGGATGCAACGACCAGGTATTTCACGTAGGATTTCAAGCAGAGTAATGAATGAATCTGTTTCCAGGATAATATATTACTCTAGTTACTGAATTAGACAAATTTTTTAATCCAATGTGCAGCCATCATTTATTAAAACAAAATTCTAATTTAAATTAAATTGCTTTACTACCACCGACACATTATTTTAAACAAAAAATTAAAAAAAAACAGTTTATTTTAAGCTCTATTAAGGAAAATCACCAGAAATTCCAACTTGAAATTCTTTCGTTACGAAATAATACACAGCAAGAAATTCATCGTGGAAGGAATTTGTCTTCCCGTCCAGTAGATACTTTAACTTGGGAAAGTCAATCGAACGATCCGTTACAATTCCAGAGAAAGGGAAATACCGGAGAAACAATTTGATCCCACGTTTGAATACACAAATTGCACGAACTGTATTCGAGAAAGGATTTCCAGAGGTAAACGGATTTTCGTTGGTGTTTTAAAACAATCACGTTTCAATTTGCACATTTTCACCGTAATCTGATCTTAAGTGTCTACTCTCATCCTGATTTATGGTACGGCGCCGTTTTCCTTTTACCATCTAACCGAACACTGATTTCCAATCATTTTCCAACAGAGTTTCCTTTTCCTACGGTAACATTGGAAAATACTTATTTTTTTTTTTTTTTGGTTTTATACAGTATCGATTGCCTGGCTCTTTAGCAACAAATTTTCGTTTAAATTTCGATTATGTTGATGAGGATCCGAAACCTTCTTTCACTTTAATGTTGATTTTATTTCCACAGAAGCGTGTTCTGCTATCAGTATGCGGAACACGCTTCATCTCTGCTTCAGTTATGTTAATCGAGTCAGCAAATTTTGAGAATTCCCTCCTTTTTCGGGAAAGTTATACATCGCATAACATGACTGTCTGGGCTCTAATGAAAAAACTTTCGAATTCCTTAAACCATCTCATTTCATATAGTTCGTGTACACTACTGAACATCATAACTTTTTATAGGGAAAAATATGATTTGGGATGAGGTTCCATTACTGCAGAAATGAATTAAAATTTCTAAGGGCACCTTGATTAGTAAGCTTGAGTCTAAAATTGAAATTTATTCTAAATGCAATTTGGAAAAAGAGCAATAACAAAAAAATTTAATTCAATATTTTTTGACATAAAAAAATATTCTGAAATTCCCTTATAGTGCGAACGGTATTTGCGAAAAAAGTAGAGAAATGTACTGGGGTATCATCAAGAAACGTTTACCTCTACCCCATTTCCCTGCGAATTTCACCCCCTACACAAGACCCATTTACCCTTTTCTCATCGTACAAAACCTCCGGGAGCAGTTCGGTCGGACGTGGACGCTTTTGTAATTTATGTTCCTACCTATTCCTCGACCACCAAACATCCGAGTTTCCACGATGTAAGTTATATCGTACACGGTATCAGTAAGAATGAAGATTGTGAACGTAGCAAGTTGCGCGGATAAACGAAGAAAAAGGGAAGATAGCAACGTTTGCGTTTATTCCACCGGCGAATGAAACAAAGCTTCGGTGCTTTGCCGACCCCCAATGGCCACCCTGGAGCTTCTGATGTTCCCTACCTCCGCGAGAATCTTGTACAGAGAATTCTGTGATTGATGTTAAACAACCGCGAAGACATTTCGAAGAATGAACAAAGTGAAACAGAGAAATTACATCTGTACAAAATGTTAACACCTTGGGTGCCCTAGTAGAAACTGATAAGATACGTTGTAACATAATTTTTGTTTAATAAAAAATTAAATAATTCGATCGCTGACATCCTCATTTCCTTAAATTGATCATAGGTTCAGCCAATATTCATGTACCAGTAATTGGAAAAACATCAAAGATAAATTAAACTCGCATCAGAGGCAGTTTAAAAATGTCATATTTATTTATTATCGTCAGGATGATCAAAGTTGATAATTTCAACGTTTCACGCACAGATGATGCAGGAGTTTAAGAGATGAGCTGGAAAATGTGGGAAATTGCAGCGAAACGAGAAGCATAATTTACAGAAGGTAAACAGCGAAGCTAGGATAACGCAGATGTTCCTACGAGTACAGCCTTGATGGCCTTGCATTTTCGATTTGACAATCTACGCCTGCAGCAACACAAGTAGCGCCTGAAGAAGCGAAGAAAGAAAGACACGTTTTCAAAGCCTCTCAGCTCGTCCATGATACAAAAGAATATTTTTTTGAAAGGTGACGAGGAGTAAAGGTAAAAAGGAGTTGTAAGAAAGTGCGCTAGCGCATCTTGAGGAAATATCTCTAGTTGGACGTTCATTTTTGACACAATTTTAGAAGTTCAGAAAGTTTTACTTTTCGAGTTTTGGCATTATAGGACCTTAAGATCTTAGAAATTCAGAATTATAAAATTTTGTAAATTTACAACTTTGAAATTTTAGGATTTTAGGATTTTAGACTTTTAAAATTTTGAATATTTTTAAATAAAAAAAATTACACAAACTTTCTTAAAGGATACCTTTTTAAATATAAAACCACGCGTCAAAGAAAAAAAAAAATTAATTAACTTTTTAGAAAAAATTCTAAAAGATATAAATTCTTTTCAACCCCCTAAATAGGCTTCACCCACTGATCGATCGCCTTAGGGTTGAATAAGCCTCGTTTTAATTACACGATTTTAAAGAGAAGGAAAATCTCGCTGTAATTAAAGTAAAAAATGTTCAACGGACATGATCTATAATACCTTTTACTTAGAAAAGGAAGAAGGAAGAACGAACTTTTGTAGGATAGTTTAACTAATTCCTCTGGCAAAAGGAAATTTCGTATCACAGATAAAAATGGTTATCTTAGTGAGCTTTAATTGCTCTCTACTTAAAAAACCTCGACCACGTAATTAGAAATCTTCAGCAGTACTACTCAACTTTCAACCGCTACTTTTTAATCAAAATAATTTACGGTACGTCTCAAACATTTCAGTATGCTTTATGACAAATATTCTTGTTCTCACAATAAAAATAAAAATATTAATTATAAATAAAATGACTCACCTAAAGGATGTCACCAGTACTGGCAGCTCTCGTAGTTTTCGTCAATGGTCCCAGTTGCCTGTTTTGATCGGGCCGAGGTCTACAGTAAATGATTTTTCGAAATGCTTTTCGAAAACTGTCGCTCAGGAAAGCGTAGAGGATAGGATTGACACAGCTGTTCGTGTATGCCAAAATGTGACTGGCTATTTGCACCATAATCGTCGCTGATGTCAATGGATACACGTTTAGTGACTTTGTTACCAGGATTACCTGTTGCAAAAAAAGAAACGACAAAATAACTTTAATTTATAAAGTAACAGAGAAAGGATTCCCTTATTTCTAAGCTGAAAATAAAATAACAATCATTAGAATCTATGCATTTTTCTAACAAAAAACGAGTATATTTATTCTCCGTACTCGAGGTCAAATGTGTGATTGATCTGCAAGCAGTTTCCGCTAGCATTTGTCTTCTCTATTGTATCACAATATTTCGATTTCCTGTTGTGTTCAATACACGACCAACGCAGTTTCAAAGAATAGTATTTCACAGAGAAAACTCAATAAACGTGGCAGGCAAACCGGATATTCTGCAGCGTCGTGAGAAATGCAACACTCATGATGGAATCACAGACAAAACGAATAGAAAATGACGATCCGCTGTGTTCCATTTTTTCCTTGTCACAAAAGAGCGACAAACATACTAATCTGTATCATTGAAACATTGCTGCGTGGATCAACATATTCTTGCAACTCGGTGGAAGAAACTTCGTAACAAAGTAAAATGAAAAATTTGACTTTTAAAATATTTTTAAAAATTTCAAATAAAATTGATTTAAAAAAAAAACTCGGATCTTTTTAAGGAAAGCATTTAAGATTTAATTATGTTGTGAATACAGCTGAAGAGAGACATTTTGACGTCTGGTGATGATAAAGATTAAAAATGAACAGCAGGTCGATAAATCTCATTCCTATATCCCCCATTATTCACGGAACACCCCCCGTATTACCGAATTTCACCCTATAATTTCCTTTTGCAATTTATCCTCCATCTCCATTAACACGAATAGCATACCAGTTAATTACATTCAGCTCGTATCGGTCGTAAATTTTTCCTATCGTTAGTCTCCCCCGAAACGTTCTGCGAAACACACGAATGCTATTCAATCCCCTGTCATCATTCTCGATCGACACCACCTTGATTTATATGATGCTACAAGAACCGTGATTTTCTGTTCGACAAATTATTCAACACCCTTTACCGCTCCAAGAAATCCGTCAAAATTTCATCTTCTGTGACCCAAATTTTAATATTTGAACCAAGTTGGGCCTGGATCCCCTAAATATCTGGACTGGCCTCGCCCAAAAATGTGGACATTTGCTATTTTTATATTTTAAGATTGCAAAATTCAAGAACTTCAAAATTTTAGATTTCCTGCGTTTCAGAATTCCAAAATTACAAATCTCCAGTTTCAAAATCGTAAAATTCAGAAGTTTTAAAATTTCTAAGGGAACTTGGCCTACTTCAGAAGAAGATCCAAGTAACGTGAATGGTTATAACAGAGGATAGTAAAATAACTGTGAAAGTTACAAAGTTACAACAGAAATTTGATGTGGTAATTTAAAGTTGCAAGAGCACAAAATGGGTTAATATATCTTCTTGCGTTACGTTTTAAGGGGTTGAAAATTTTAACTTAAACATTTCAATTGCCCAATTTTGAATCTAAGCATCATTAATCATTTTACACTCCTATCATTACATAAAATTAATTTAACCCTTTCTTTTAATAAAGAAACTCCACTTGCTATTTTTAAAAGCTTTGGCTAGAAAATTTCACGGTTGCAGGGTTTTGAATTTTATCACGCATGTTAACGTGTGTCAGATCGTTCGTCGCGATACTAACCTGTATAGGGCACCAACAAAAGGCGAAAACGCCAACTACGACGAGCACCAGCCTCGTAACTCGTCTTCTTCCGCGTCGACTCTCGGCGCTGACGCGTTCCCCGCGCCATAGCCTGACGAGCATGCAAATGTAAAAGAAGCATATCAGCATCAGCGGCAGCAGGTAACTCAGCAAGAAGAACGACATTTGGAAGATAGGCCAATTATACTGTGGCAGAATTCGACAAGCCGTTAGGTTCTCCGATGACGAATCGTCCACGTCCTGAAACTAAAACAATCCTGCATATAACAAGATAATCCATATAATTAATAACATCACAATTAACACGTTAATCGCCATTAATGGAAAAAAATGGTTCGTGTCTCCTGGGCCTTTTCTTTTTATATTAAAAAATTTGAATTTGTTCTTTGAATTGATTTACAAAATATTTTTGCTAATTTTGAAAATTATCTTTGATGTACAATATATGTACTACTGTACGAAATTTGTACCTCAACCTTCTGACGACGGACCATTATTCAATGTAAAAATGCATGTGCACTTTATAATTACCTCACTTTTTAAATGAAAAATTAAATTTTTTCCTGCAACAAGCTTTGTCCAGTTCCAATTAAAAATGATATGAATTATTTTATGCGAGGAAACAGTTGTTATCTATAATTTTCTTTTTCCTAATAAATTATTCATAAAACGTATTTAATCTTCTAGCATAATATTCTATATGCTTTTTATAGAAATCAACTGGGAAATTTCTTCCAAGTGAAAGAATATCTGTAGCTGCAATTCTGCAGAATTAGTTTAATTGTTGGGTCGTTCGCGTATCATCGGATTTATGGCTGTATCGTCCATAGAATTCCTTTTGCTAATGCTTGAATTAAACCGAAGCGTGTATCCAAGGGATTTACAAAACGCGCAATGTTATTTGCAATTCTATACCGTGTCAAATGCCACGTGTTACACGAACGAACCTAAAATACAGTGAGGCTATAGCGATAGAACGATCTCATCGTGTTAAGGACGGTTATTTGTGTCATTTCCGTTAGCGGAATCGTGGAAAATCGCATAATGCAGGACAATGAGTTCAGAGCATCGAGATATTCAACGGAACTACAATCGTTATTACAGAGATTGCTATGTGTATCGCGATCTACACTTTTCAGAAATATTGCCATCAATTACCCTTTGATCTGCCCATGCAAATTACAAAATTGCTAAATTTTGGATTCCGTTTCAATTTCATGGCTGGCTACTGTGCCAGTCAGCATATTAATTACAAAATAATTTAATTTTATATTTCAGTTTATATTATTAACCCTTGAACAGAGGAGCCTGGATCTATCGTGACCCAAAATTACATAACATATGCACTTGGAGCTCTCTCCATGGTCCGCCATTCGAGGATTAATATAATAACGAAGCTATTAATTTGTGGCACGAGTCATTATAGTCATGAGTGGTAGCAGTAATTAGTGACTCTTACAATAGCCAATTTGTTAATTTGTAATAGGAAATAAGGCAAAGATAACGAGAAAATCAAGTGATTTATAAATCATCTCCATTATAGTAACCCACGAAATACCAGAAACAAATCCATGTTACGGTTTCAAATTTGCAACTTTATAGTGAACGTTCTAGTAGAGCGATTACGTTGCCCAGTTGACTGCGTTCATTTCATCCGAAAGTAATTACAGTGAGAACATTCATTGGGGAATAACAGGATAGATGACATCGGTGAAATTTTCCTTCGAACCACTTAAATTTTCTAGCATCATTACTGGGATACTATTTATTTGGAAAAGGTTAATTTAACTTTTTATCTTTTAATTGATTATTTTTACCATTTTCTCAATTGTCTATTAAACATGCCTATAAAATAACAAAAACAATCATTTCTATTATCTGTATCCAGTCAAATAATTAAAAAATATATCGTATTTTTTTAAATTCATATTCTGTTCGCGTGAAAAAGTGAGTTAAACGTAGAACTTCATGGAATTTAGATAATCCAATTGTTAATCATTTTATGGCACCAAAATCCCCTCGTTGATCGTATCGGTAAAATCGATAACGAATAACTGGATTGAAGGAGTGAATCAAAGAGACTATCACCGGTACCTGCTGGAGAGAATATTTCGCGTTCGTACAATTTGGCCGCGGCAAACTGAACCTGCGTGCCAATGAAAAAAGAAAAAACTGATGGAAATAGAGATTTCAGATAGGAATCTGAAATATCGAATCCAATTCCACTGGTCGATAACAGAAAGGAATTAGTCTGAGAGATTAATACACGCACTATAAAATGGTTCTGGTTCGAACTGGCAATGACAAATAATGATGGCATAAATTTAGATAGAATTAACAGATTTAATATCGTGTGGATCATCAATAATTACTGAGAAAATTACGTGCGGAGGTTTCTGAAAGGTGAAATTATAATATTTCAAATTAAGAATCAAGATTATAATATTTCACATAATAAATTGTGGATTCATTGGCACGAAATGTTAAGTTAAAAATAAAACACTAACCCTTGAATCTAATATTATTCTAAAGAAAATTAAATAGAAAGAGTGTAATATAATGGAAGAATAATTTCTAAAGGAACAGTGTAAAATTTGAAATGCGAGAATAATATAAAATACGGAATTAAATTAAAATTGAAGTTCTCTCCATGGTCCGTCGTCCGAGAGTTAAAACGTATAATGCATATTTACATAACACGTGTGTTAGGAAAAAAATTCATGCAGGGCATAGCAATTATGTATACATAAGTGGGTTACCTCGCCATGAACAACCAGGGCAGGCGTGGATATTGCAAAAATCATCGCCCATGCGATGCAAATCGCGAGGATCGCGTGATTTTCAGTTCTCCATGACATTGAGGTAATAGGATGAACCACCGCCAAGTACCTGTAACAAAGAAAACCAAATTGTCAATAAAAACAAAAAAGGAATTGATATTTATATTTTAGAAACCATAAAAAATCTTGAATTATTAAAACTGTCTGAAATTATATATCATGTGTAAGGTTCTGTCCAATTATTGTGTATTTTCAAAATATCTCGCGAATCATATGCTAAATGAAATGAATAGAGCATCATTGATGCTAACTGATTTGGATAAACGCCAATGAATTGAATAATGCAGGTTGCCAGGGACTCGCGATTAACCTAGTTGTTAATTGCAATTTCGTGACAGGAGAACTATGCCATAGGTGAACGGATACGTATAATTTGTTAACGAATGTCATTATTCGCGCAAAATATCCAGAATGTATAATTAACGAAGAGATATTATGATAATAGGATATTAATCTCATTTCCAAATGTGGTTAACTATGATGAAAGTATCTTATAATACCAGCTACAGAACCTATTTTTCATTATTTATTAACTTATTAACATGTTCAAATATTTTAAGTGAAAATGTTGAACTTGTAGAATATTTCCACAATGAGTGTTATAAATGATAATAAAAAAACAATAAAATAAAAGGTGAGAAAATTGCTTGAAGAAAGTTCTTATAAGGAATAAAAATGGCTGTGTAGCAGATTTCGAGGGAAAATCAAGATTCTTTTGCACGTGCAACGCAAAGCACGTGATTCCACAGTCTAAATTACTGCACACCATACGGTATCTGGAAACGTAACCGGAAATACTGCTGATATCTATGAGGAAAGAATAGATTACATCCTTGCATGTTACGTAGCGAATCGAATTTTGTTATGCAATCTCTTCCTTCGGACATCTGCATTATCATACGATTAACATATCATTGTGATTTATGTATTCTGTCAAATTCAAACAACTTAAATCATTGTCTTGCTTCTATGAATTGAATTAAAAAATCAATTTTTAACGTCTATAATAATGATAGCCAAATTTTAATGGAATCAATTAACATGCTATCTGAAATTTGCTGTTCGTAAAATCACAGAGTGTGACACGATTTCATGACATAAAAATATCATAAAATGGCACTTGTGGCACATTAAATTGAAGCTTCAAATTTCACGAAAATGACCACGTTAACATTTTATGAATACACTTAATACAAAATGGTTGATTGCCAGTTATAGCAAACAATGAGCAATTTCGAGACATAGAAAATCTCACACTATTTGATTCCATAAAGTACCATAAAATGGCTCTTATCGCACATCAATTTAAAGTTTATTAATTGGTGAAAATAACTATGTAAACGTTTCATAAATATTTTTAATACAAATTGAATGGCTCCTTGTTAAAATCAAACACTGTACATTTCAAAATCTGTTCCAAAATAGTAATGGTCCTTTATCAAAAAATTCCCTTATATTCCTGAATTTATTATTAAAAAATAAAACTCACCTGTCAAGGCTCATCAGAACCAAGGTATAAACGCTGGCATAGGCAGTGACGATGATAAGGTACTGAACGATCTTGCACCAAACGTTTCCAAACGGCCAAAATGGTAACACAAAATCGGTCGCGGTGAACGGAATACAAAAAATGACGAACAACAGATCGGCCACCGCCAGATTGATGATTAAAATGTTCGTTGTCGATCTCATACCGGGATTAGCAGCAACGACGATCACCACTAAAGAATTCCCAACGAGTCCAACTATACCGATCATGCCAAAAAATATCGGTACCACCACTTCGACGATTCTCTCCACTTGTTGACGATTGAAATTGAACTCGGAATCCTCGTCGATTTCGTACGATTCGTTGTCGTGCATCGAGCGCGAAGTATTCGTGAGATTAGTGATAATTTTCTCCAAGTGCATCTCCATCTCTTGAAGCATCCTGTATCTTCAAAACTTCAAAGTTCAATTACAACAAATTTTCTGATCAATTCTATGGATACATTTCAAATGAAATTTCTACATCCTTTTTGATTACTTGAAGAATTTCAATAATTACACCTTCTGTGTATGATAAATTGTCAGCATTTCTTATTTACATAATTTACTTCGGTGCTTTGTAAAAAATACAATTCGATATTGCACATCTTCTGAGACATCCAGGAATTGTTTTGCAAAATTTCGTTGATTAATTGATCTTCTATTTTCTTTTCTTCAGCTATCTGAAAATCAAACCAATTGTGATGTTAGAACTTGCTGGCAATCGTATAGTTTGTATATGTGTGACACCTTTGAAAAATAAAAACTTATTCATTTTACTGGAATTAAAATAAATATTCATATTCTAAATATTTCTGGTTAATTGTTTTTGCACTACTGTGTAAGTTTTAAGCAAACTTTTAACGCTCTAAGTAACATCTGGGATCTGGCCCAACCAATGATAATAAATCACAATCAACTTCGCTTATGCAAAGGAATAGTCTGATCATTCTGAGCAACAAACTGGAAACTTAAATTATCCAGAGACACAAAGCTTATACTCACAATCAGTCAAAACAGAGGGAATCCTTTACAGATGTAAGATTTAGTACAAACATAAAGACGGTGTACTTCTAGTTTTACGTGCATTTATGAGACTATAAGTTTTCGTCCAACTCGTTAATCGTAAATTGCTAATGAGTTTTTAATTGATCAGGTGGCGACTGACTCCCTAGGAGCTCAATTAAAAGAAGCCTCGAAACTCTCCACAGTTTTTTACTTAACTTTTGAATAGCGAAGTCTAAAATAATATATGCCCAAACTTACAAAATATATACCAGGACAGTTAAATGTATAATTTTTAAACGAAAGAGTTTTATATATTGGAACAATAATTTTTAGAGGAGTAGTGTAAAATTCGGAAATTAAAAATAATATAGAATACAAGACTAAATTAAAAATTCGGGTTTCTCAATGGTCTGCCATTAGGCTATTAAATTTTTTAGGACATCCTTGATTGATAAGCTTTGTTCAAAAAGTGAAATTTATTCTACATAAAATTAAATAACAAAACGGCAACATTACAGAAGGATTTCAGGCAATATTTTTAACACGGTAAATGAAAGGTTTAAAACGGACCCTCTAGAAAGTGGGGGTTCCTTAATCCGCCGCTGACATCAGATAATGAAAATGTTCTTAAGGCGAAAACCACTTTAGGATTTTCAAAAAATCAAAAATTTTTTTGGCTTAAACGATACTTTAGGGTCATAGAAACAGTATGCCATTTGATTTATAGTGGAAAACAAATTTTGAAAGGTTCAATAATTGATTTTGCCACAGCGCCTCAGAGCGCGCGTTGAGCACTCACACGGTGCGCTGTGATTCATCGCTTTTGTATTACTTTTACCTTTCGAAATATTAAGTTTATCTGTTACCTACAAAACAAACGGTTGTTAGGGTTCCTTGAGAGCTTACCAGGATACGACAATACTATAAACAAAAGCGTATGTGTGAGCCAGTATAGCTGATAATCCACGCGGTGCACATGCTTCGTGTTCATAAAACTTTAAACGCGTTTTTCTCGATACCACTTTCTTCAAATTGGGAGGACGGATTTTTCGGTAACTATTGCATGGATCGATTTGAAATTTTTACAGTAGCTTCAGAACAATATTCTCTTTGCAAGTACGTAGCCGTTTTCTGATTGAATGTAAATTTTTTTTTATAAACAATTGAATGCTCATTTTTAAGGCAAAAAATCGATCCATTTCTTAAAAAGTGCACTACTTCCACAAAAATTGATTAAAAAAAAAAATCCTACGTACTTCCAAAGCCAATTGTATATAGATTATAAATTCATTTCGTTTTCTGTTCCGGAACTCATACATGGCGAGAAATTCGTCCTCCCATGGCGGTGTTTTTAAAAAAGCTGTTTTAGACCACGGGCTCTGTTGCCGCCATTTTGTATGAAAATGGAAATTAAAAAAATTGTTTCGCGTACTTCAATATGTGTTAAACAAACCCTCTGAAAAGAAATTCTATTCCGTTTGTCATACTCCCAAAATAAATTGTCAAATTTAGGTCGTTTTTTCTGCCTCAAGAGTGGTTTTACCCCTTAATAAGATGAAGCTGTGTATTTATATACTTGAAGAACACCTGGGCTCTATAAGCTTCTAATGGGATGAAATTACTCGCCGTCTGTCAGATCCACATTGAATTATTTAAGACTTGACATTGAAATTGCTAAAGATAGTAGCTCATCTTAAGAATACCTTAATATTGTATACAAATTTTTTGTAATTTTAGATTTTCCTAAATTACATTTCCTTATCGAGTTACAGAAATTCTAACAAATATCTAAGTACCCTAATTAATATATCTAACACAACAAGTACTGTAATTAATTTTCTGTAATAACATATTGTCCCTCCTTTCTATATTTCCGAGGAACTACTAGTGTGATAATAAACGGCATAAAACTCAAAGAAAGAATCAGGAATCGACCCATTTTGACTGATCAAAATTCAGGTCACACCGAGAGCACGTGCGATCCCCACTTCCAAATCTTCGCTAAAAGAACTCTTTATTTAACCCTGATCCTCATTTGAGCAATTATAAACCTACTATAAAGGTATTAGAAAAAATTAGATATCCAAAATGGGCATGTTGGAACAGAATACTAAAATACCCATTAAACTCTTTCAAAATAAAATTTAAATACCCCCCAAAAAAATAGAAATGATATCAACATTCTACACGTAGAATACGATTCTTTTATTCGAGATACATATTTCATTTTTCGCGTTCCATGGTAGATATAAAAAATTACGATGTCCCAGCAACTAGGGTACTTTTATCTCACTTTCCATTGCATTTTTAAATCGATTGCAGTTGTTTCGCTGGTAAAAACTTACAAACACGCATTCACGACCAGAAGAATTATAGATCCGTTTTTTCTATCACTATTTCCAACGCGCTTCTGATCTATAGCGTCCTTTTGAATAATAAATTTATACCCCGAGAAAAAAGGAGACAACTATACACACAGGCATAATGTGCTACATGAACAGTGAAACAGCCTCCCCTTTCAATTTATTCCTTTATTTTCGCGTTATAAACTGTTACAACGCATCCGGACCGTCTTCCTCAAATTTTCCTCCCTTTTCTCCCGAGAATGATTAATTGATTCAATTTTACAGCGGCAGAAGAGGATAATGTAAATTTGCAAACTCGTAACTTTCCGTTAGTCGCAACGTCCACGCTTCTTTTTCCTTAACCGTCCGATTCTACGTAAAAGGAAAGTAGAGTAGAACGCCTATTATTCGGACGTTCTTTCTTCTACTTAAAAGTGTTTACTCTTTTTCTATAAGAATCAAAAGTAATTATAAACGTAGCATGAAATTTTCAAACGAAAAATGGAAAATTCTAATTTTGGAGCATGAAATGACGTAATTTAGAAACAGATTTTCAATCTCCCAGGAAACCCCATCACTGCACTAATTACAAGTTCTAATTAGAAAACTGCGTAACCTTGTCACTGCACTTTGATGGATGATATATTTTTGAAAATATAACATTTTCTCGCTAAGAGTGTCATTTGACACTTTCAATTTGCTATTTTCATAAATTAAAAAAAATAAATACTAAAGAATTTGCAAACTGAAGAGTTAATTAATGACATCTTCGGACCAAAGTCAATTACAGATCAATTAACCAAAATTAGAACAATTTCCCCAATATTTCTGTGATAACAATCGACGATCAATAGATCGATAATACAGTACATAACTTTTGGTTGTAGTTCGTTACACCATCTTGTCTGACCATTAATGAAATTTATCACTATCTTCATTTAATTACCTTGGCCCTCACGTGCTTATATCAACGGGTTTTAACGATCCTCCGCCCTTCCTTTTAACGGATTAAGCCTGATAAGGCGTAACTGATGCAGATAGATCGATTCATGATTGCTGGTCCAACCGCTGCTAATTGCTGCGAGTCTCGTTCGACAAATATCCTCCCGACGAACATCGCTCGACCACTTTTGTTGCCGATAACATGATAGACCGAGAACATCCAAGCGCATGTTTTTTCCACACGAAAATCGTCGCACGCTGTTTACATAATCAAATGTCGCACTTTCTTCTTCAAATAAAATTGTCAAACATCAACATTTAAATAGTTGATCGAACAAAACATCGTTCAATGTGTTGGATCAATTTTCCAGTACGAAAATTAAAAAAAAAAAAAAAAGGAACTTGTTTGATCATGGAAAGCTTTTAAGATTTTCTCGTTGAAATACAAAAGTCTTCAATACAGAATTCTTTTTATTGAATGCAAAAGTTTCATTTAATGAACGCGTTAAGCACGAGAAAATCAGGCTACTTGTATTCAGTCTGCCACTTTTCTGGGTCACGGTTGATTCAATGTTCTTGCGTTACAAACGACAGATGTCAAAAATTGATGGAACGTTTGTAAAGTATCATGAGGACATATTTAAACCGTTTCAGTCACTTCCTTTGATTTACCATTATATTATATAAGAAAGTTTCCTCGCGTTCTGATATGCTTCTGTATCTAATTTGTGTTACAAATATAAAACTGACTAAATTATATTTTTGGAATTAGCACGTGAATGATAGAGAACATTAGAAAGATACTTTCTCGTTGAAAAAGACGACTTATTTTCGTTTGAATTTCGTAAATATCATATTGTTTTTAAATTCTGAATAACAAATTCTTCATTCATGAGAGGATTTGATTAAAACATAAATATAAACAATTGATACTAGAAAATCAAAAGTTCACACAAAATGAGTACACGTGTTCAAACATTGACGTCAAAATTAAAAATACTTTTCTTTTAATTTCTTTTTGATAAAATTTTTAATAACACTTCACTCAAAGATGATCCACAGAAATTTACACTGGTATTTAAAAAAAAAAAATGTCTTTTTCTTTTGAATAATTAAATATTCAAATGGAGTACAAACAAATTTTTACATTTTTGTATTCCACTTTTGTTGAAGTAAAATTTTTAATTATTTTTCATCGTAAATCGACGCGTTTTACGAAATATTGTATTTTGAAAATAACGAGGGAGGTACGCAACCGACGGTGGATGCGGCTCGACTGTGGGGATCGCAGAAACAGAGTTGAAGAAATATCGTCTTCGAGTTTGACTGAAACAGGGATGTAGGATTATTCCTATAGACAGGGTGCAAGTGGCATCTAGCACCCTTACAAAGTTCCACACGATTTTATCGATCTGCTCTCTCGGTCGCTAAAATGGACACGCGACTGTACCTTCGTATAGTAATTTAGCTATTCTTCATAGAATAAAAATAAAAATAAAATTTTAAAGCAACATTCCATATTCTCTAAATTAAACAACTTTATACAAAATATTTGAGAAATTCATAATTCGTAACTTTCAACATAATTCAAAGTAATCGCAATAAATTATTTGAAAAATATAGGATCTGGTCTATATTAATACATTGAGATAGTAAAAAAAAGATTTCAAATAATATTATTTATATGCTTGAATATAAAAAAATTATACTATAACTACATAATAGTATGATTTAATTCTTTTTAATTTTTGAATAGAAGTATTAAATTACACGGTGCTAATGACGAAATTAAATAAAAATTACGAATTAAGATTAATTAAGAAATTTCTTTGTAAATTTAAAGTACATAGGAATACGAATTTCCATGGAAATACGAATTTCCATGTATTCGTAGATTCAAAGCAACGATAGATTATATATTGAACGTGTCTAAAATAATTTGGTTAATTACGCTGGGACTTGTCCTCGAACTATGTGTCATGCACACCTATTGCATAGCAATTAAACAGGGTGCAAGTGATATCTCTTTAATGAATATCTCCATCGAACATGTCAGGCAAACTTAATCTAGCCCGCTGCGTCCTACAATTTTCCTTGTTAATTACCAAACAATAATTTAGAAGGTTCTCTTGCTAATGAACTAAATTATGCAAAATAGCTGTAGAATATTAAGTAGCTTCATGTAACAGAAATACATCTAATCAAAAAAATACCTTAATTCTTTCACGATGATAGCAACATAAAAAAAATATAGAAAATTTATTTATAAAACTGTTTAAAAAAATAGATTTCGGTCTTCAGACCTGCACATAAATACATGTTAATTATGGTTCAAAATGATCACAATTCAGAACATCCATTTTCTGAAGATTAGATAAAACAAAAATAATATCAAAAAAACATTAGACATCTACAAAGTAAATTATCAGCTTTATTCAAGAATTCATCTATACTATTTATTAATAATTTTATTAAGAAAGCAACATTTGTTAATAAAATACATCACGAAGAAAGTATAACTGTCACCGTATTTTCTACATTGTTTTTAATTATTATAAACTATAAATTAATGTTTCCCAGTGACTTTGTCAATAATCGCTTGAGTTAAAACCTTTCCAGCAAGATCCTTAGCTATATTAGTCAACTGATCACTGAAGTTAGGTTTTTTAGTGGTGGGAGGAGGAGGGTAATACCCTGCAGGTGGAGATCCTTGAGGATAACCTTGTGGATATCCCTGAAGATATCCTTGAGGATATCCTTGTGGATAACCTTGAGGAGGATATCCTTGCTGATAACCAGGATAATTGTTACCATAAGGATTGGGCTGGCCAGGATATCCAGAACTTGGAGCAGGATATCCAGAACCTTGAGCAGGATATCCAGAACCTTGAGCAGGATATCCAGAGCCTTGAGCAGGATACCCACTCCTTGGAGCTTGACCTTGACTAGGATACCCAGGATATCCAGCATTAACCGTGTTAGCATCCACTCTCTTAACACTTTCCTCGTTTGCTCCAGGATAACCAGATCGAGAACTTGAAGGATACGAACTACTAGGATAACTGCTCGATCCTGAAGGATAACCTGAACCACTGCGCGATGGGTAACCTGGATATCCCGAAGAACTCGATGGGTAGCCACTGCTTCTCGATGGATAACTGGAACTTCCAGATTCCGATGGGTAACCAGAACTTCCTGGATATCCTGAAGAAGTACCCGATGAACTAGAAGGGTAACCAGAACTGGATGGGTAACCGGAGGATCCACTTCTGGAAGGATAACTGGAGCTCGACGGATAACTGGATGAAGGATAACCAGAACTGGATGGGTAACCTGAAGAGCCACTTCTAGAAGGATAACCAGAACTTGAGGGATAACCAGATGATCTACTCGGGGTGTCTTCACCTCTCTGTTGACTCTCTAAGGACGGATAAATGCTCCTTGATGAACTGGGGTATCCACTTCCTGCTGGGTATCCTGATTGTGTTTCTCTGTTCTTAATTGACGAACTTGAGCCATCTGTTGCCGCAGATTGCACATCTCCATTGTTTTGTCGCCTTACGACTACTTTGTTATCCTCGTCTTCGAATTCTGCGAACAATTCGTTATCTACCTCCTAATTGTTTAGAAATGTTGGCATTTCAAAAGGTGCCCCATGCCATGCCGAGTCCAACATAATTTCACCTTTTCCAATTTATTCATGTGTGATTATTCCTTCATAGTTCTTGGCAAGCTACGCTGACGCGATTGTGAGAATTATTCGCAGTGCACGATTCACTGTGTTGTCTCAATTAGAGTGTTATCAAGCTAATTATAGTGTTTGTATAACGTGATTGTTGTTACTTGTACCGTGAGATTGCCTCTGAATTTTGATTATTAATTTTGAAAGCTGAGCTATGCAACGAATTGCAATTGAGCCATGCAATTGCACATTTTTATTTCTTTCTATGTTAGAAATGATGTTAATATAGAGATGCAATTTTTGGGTTTATTTCATAACCTAAGTGATATCTGATGGAACAATAATTGAAATTAGGGAAGATACAATTATTGCTGGGAATTGCATATATTTAACATATTATATTTGTTCGGTACATTGAATAAGTGCCATACTCATTAAGTACCAATGCATCTAACATATTTATAGTAAAAAGCAAAATTGAATACATACCAGAAATTTTAAAATAAATCATATTTTATTTACTTTATATTCAAATTCCATATGTATATATTCAATTTTGCTCTTTACTATGTATATAATAGCAATGTTTTAGAAATAGGTCACAAGTCATCAAGATGGCACTAAAAAAAAGAAGCCACAGTTATCTTAAAAATTTATAAAATTGTAAATAAAATCCAAATTACACGTTTACATTTTGTAATACAAGAAACTTTATGATAACTGTAGTTTCCAGCTTACAAACTAAAAATCTTGGCCCCAAAGTTAAGTATATTGTAAGTAATTCGTAGAATGGTAACTGATCCATCGATTAGCCGGAGAATCTCCAAACTCTGTTTCCCTGTTCATCGACTGATGTATGGGAATCGTAATAACCACTACCCCCGAAACGAGTACGGCTTCTGGGAGTGGTGGTGGTTACACCATACGACCCATATTTACGATCATTGCCAAACAAGCGATCAAAAATAGAACCGTCGCCAATAGTGTTCCTCGATCCTGCGTTACCACTGTTTCTTCCTCCGAACCCATTAGAAGAACCCCTTGGCGGTGGTGGTGGTGGTGTTGGCCTAACGCGTCCTGGTCGTCGTGTCGGATAGACTGTCGAATTGGAGAGTGGAAATCAAAAACCACGTCAAATTCAAAAACTAAATTCTGACTGTGGTTTTAGTAGCCTGTGTAATAATTTGTTAGTCGATATTAATATTACATGCCAATGTTAAATAAATGAATTTTATGCACTTCTGTAAGGCATGCACCTTAATTACTGTTACTTCTTTTGTGCTATATTATTCTATTTTCTGGGTTATTTTCAACTTCCACTCTTCAATTTGTGCTATTTAAATTTTAATATTTTTGACTGAAAAAATGTATGCTATAATAGGTAAACAGTGTCGGATTAAAGGGAGGTCTAAACGGATCCCATTCTAAGCCTTTCATTTACGAATTTTTTTTACTGCTTCTTTTTTCCTTTGCAATTAAATGATATTTATTTTCAATATTAATACCCAAAAATCTTAATCCGATCCTGTAGGTAAATAAAGTTTTTATATGTATATAGAGGGTGGTAAAGAAAAGGGTTCAGAATAAAAAAATAAACAGCAAAAATTTGAACCTTCTCTTTTTCCAACCAGTATATAATCCCTATAATTAAAAAGTAATTGTTGAATAAAAAACACAAAGCTGAAATTCATCTATACAAAATATTAAATAGCCTGTAAAAAAATAATAAAAAGAAGAAAAAATTGAAATCGATTTTGTTGCCATAAAACACGAAAACAATATTGAAAAAAAAGTCTACTGATAAAAGGAAAATGACTGTTTTGAGTATAAAATATGTGACCTACAAAGTAGTTTTACGTATCTTGTTGAAGCAGATAAGAGGTGTCAGGGTTCGACACGATAACAAGATTAGTCGATGTTTGCTTCGGCTTTAAGAAATTCATTCTAAAGCCTGTTTGGGGCCAACTGCAGCTTATGCACCGAGCACAGATGACAGGTAATTACAGGAAATCCGTGAGATTGATAGAAACAGCATCACTTTTATTCCGACTCATGATTTGCACAACTATATCAATTGGAATCATTGTGCATTGTGTATATGTATTGTACATATAGACGTCAATGGAGTAGTTTCAATTTTATATCGAAACTCATAATTTAATATATGTATAATAATAATAATATTATATAACTTTGTAATTTTATGTATAATAATGTCATTATAATTTTATATTATAGATATACACCTATGCATATAGATATATTAGCAATGTTTCGCTAATTATTCATTAGACAGTCAAAATATTTTGATCATAACGTAAACGTGTTTTATA